TATTTCAAGAGGACATACAAAAAGGTAAAGATAATCTACGGAAAGCTCAATTACGGATGATTGAACAAGCCAACAGGCACCGTCGACCGTCTACATTCAAAAAGGGTGATCTGGTTCGGGTAAAATCTAAAGAGTTTTCACTAGAAGAAGATGTGTCCCAAAAATTGTTACCTGTCTATTTTGGACCCTGGGAAGTTCTCAAGGTAATTGGAGATGCAAAGGGACCGTCTTATCGAATTGATATTCCCCCTCATCTCAAGACATATCCTGTCTTTCATGCGTCCAAATTGCTGCCTTACGTAGAAGGAAACGAGTTTCCACACAGACCCTCTATGATTCCACCAGAAATAGATGGCGGATACGAGGTTGACAGAATCATAGAGCATTTTTACTTCTCTACGGGAGGACGTGGACAACCTCAGAAGCAGTTCAAGGTACGTTTTAAAACTCCAGCACCATATGAGGACAGATGGTTTAGTAAACGGGAACTACTTAAAACTGCTCCTGATATTGTCGCTGCTTATGAACGAGGGTTAAAGTCTTAAATATTTCTGCGGTGGAACTCGAAAATGGGCCGACAGGAATGTAATAACCCTGTTCAGAAGTAGCCTGGGGCCCAGAACTCAGCCCCAGGCCACGCAGACCTGAGAAGGTTTGCACTGGGCTGTGTGACCGCCCAGGCCTGAGTCTGTCGAGTGTGGCTGTGTGACCGAACGCTGCACACAGTAACTTCAAGAGTCAAAGTCAACTGTAGAGTCAAAGGTACCGCACCCAGGCCCTGGGTTGGATACACTCACTTGTTGTGCGTAGGTACCCAGACAGCATCCAGGCCGGAGGGAATTCGGTTTCAGGCCGATTTGAGCCCTCATTCGCATTGAGATCTGGACGGCCGAGGGAAACAGCATCCGGGGTCCAGACCCCGCGTCAACACTACATAAGAGTTGACTTCCTGGCTTCGACATTCATTCTGTCTTGCGTTGATGCTGACTTCACGCGTTGACTTCAATGCTGGCTCAACGCTGCGACGCTGGCTCGGCGCTGCTGGCATTGTAACTTGGCGAGGCGTTGTTAGTCCGGCATGGTGGCCGGCTTACTCCTGTCTTCTTGGCATGTTGACGTGGCAGCTGCCATACCCCTTCGCTGATGTGGTTGCTGCCACGTATATCATTTGGCTGACGTGGCTGTTGTCCACGTGTTCTATTACGGGGACTACATGATCGGCATTGCTGTTCTGTTTTGTCGTCACCTCAGGAGGAGATCAGGACTGTGGAGAGTTCGAGGATATGTACCTGATGGTCTTCATGTCGACATTGCTCCAGATGCTTATGTGGAACTGATTAGACGTGCCACTTGGCACATTGAGGATACTCGGATACTCGTTCAGACTATTGATTGTTGAGGTGGCAGTAGAGGAGGGAGCCCGAAGCAGGAGTGGGCATTATACTTCCTCTCCTTTGTCTCTTCTCCCTCCCCTCTCTTCGTATGTGTATGATTACCTCACCTCATTCTGTTTGGTTACGATTTGGACTATGAATAATCATCAGCCGATGGACATTTATCTGGGCTTGCATTGTTGACAACTGTCTCACGATCTGGGTTCATTACACAACATTTATTTCGCGGTCCAATTTTTTTTTTTTGTATATTTTTCCTGGAAAGATCACAATCTAATTTACATGATGTCAAATTTTCAGATTTTTTTGTCAATTCTTCTGAGCATGCGGCGCACTTAGTGCCAACCAGCAGTGATAGTTCGCTTGATACCTCTGATCGGTAATAGCAGGGTCCTTGGCCAACATGGGTGTGAGTGTGAGTGTGAGAGGGTTGTGTGTGGTGTGTGTGAGGGTGTTGGTCTTATTCGGTTCGGGGTGGGGGAGGATGAAAAGGGAGGCACAACTACTGGCAAAATGCTCGATCTTTGCGTTAGCTGGACCCTCACCGGCGGCCCCACCCCATCCTTGACCACCATGGTTGGGGCGGGGGGCAACATGCATCCCCTCTGATGGTTGGAGGGAGACAACAAAGCTATGCTTGCAGGGGTCCCCTGTTTAAGCGTTAGGAGTAGTGGTAGATAGGTAGTGAAGGTGAATTGAAAGAATTTGAAAGATGATGAAAGATTTGAGAGAAGAATATAGCATAGTTTTATAAAAAGAGAGAACAATAAAAAAAATCTTGTGTTAAACTCCGGACCGTCCTGTGGCCTGGCCTTCGTCCGGCAGGGGTCCCGGGCGGCCCGGCCCGTTGGGTCCCCCGGTTTGGGGCCGGGCGAGGCCAGCGCAATTTCGCGCAGGGGGGGGGGATGCCTTTTTTGGCTACTGGTCGCCTCCCCAGCCTCCGGCGACACCAGGTAAATTTTTTTTCTTGAATCTACGACAATGTACAAGTAGTTTGAGGGGGGGGAGCGAGATTTTCGACTGAGATTAGCCGCCAAGAAATCGTTTCCCCCTCTCGCGGGCTACGATGCCGCGTTCGGATTCGAACGTGGTATTCCCTGTTGCGAAGCCCGTCGTCCCTGCTGTCGCGAAACCGCCCATCGTCGCTAGCCCGCCCGTTGTCGCTGCGGTCGTGAAGCCCGCCCGTCTTCATCGAGCTGCCCATCGTTGTCTCCATCGAGCTGCCTCGTCAAGAAGCCCTCCTCATCGTCGCTGCCCGTGAAGCTGCTGTTGCCGTCGTCATGAAGCCTCCTCCACCTCTTTCCTTCCTCTTCTTCTTCCTCTCCTCCTCCTCCTCCTCCTCCTTTCCTATTCTTCTTCTCCTCTCCTCCTCCTCCTCCTCCTCCTCCTTTCCTCCTCTCCTCCTCCTCCTCCTCCTCCTT